GTTTACCCCTACTTTGCCTCCCTGTCTAGGGAATGACTTTTAAATTCAGCCAAATTCCTAAAGACACATGGTTACCCAGTTTCTACTGCCCAAACTAATCTCTCTCTCTCTCTCTCAGTGTCTGTGAAGCAAATTCTGGTTTGTCAGTAAGGAAAGTTTCAGCAGAGCCACAGCACGGGCAGCTCCTTTTTGGGGAGTACACTGGGATGCTACAAAAGGTCCCTGAACATCTGCAGAATCTCCACGAGCGCAGCCAGGATTACTGATGTTTTGATGTTTTGATGTTTGATGATCAAGGCCTGGGCAGCATCTGCTGCGCCTTTCCAGTGTACGGGACAATGTGATCCTGGCAGAGCGGTGCCTCCCAGGCTTGCCAGCAGGTTTTGTCCCCTTCTCCCAGTTTCTCCACCCTCCGGCCTTGTCTTGATTTTCTTCCCACTCACCTGAGCAAGACTTTTGGCAAGTTTATGTTCTTTCTTCCAGGTGTAGTAGTACTCCACACACTGTGCCACAGCCTTGCTCTGAACCTGTTGGGAAGAGAAGAAGAAGGAATCTAAAATGGCCATCCTGTAGGGTGCATTGGAGAACAATTGGAGAGTTCTGGAGTCACCTAGGAAGCAAAATGATGGAGTAAATTGAGTAGGGTGTAAAATGAAATAAATAAGGCGTAAAAGAGGCCTTGTGCAATGTAATATACAGTGTATGATGCTGTGTGGGAAGACATGCGATGCACAGATCAACAACAAATCCATGTAGCACAGTTTTTCTTTCCCCCATTGGGTTCTCAGCTCTCCCAGCACCATCTGCTGTGGAAGCATCAGCGCACCTAGGAGACCAAATCTGACAGAATAAGCCTTTGTGTTCCGAAAGAGCTTGGAGGAAAGGGCCTTTGAGGCAGAATCACCCCTCTCTTGCAGGCCTTTGATGTCCTGTTTCATTATTACTTGATTATTTCGGGTATTTGAGAAGAGAGAGAGACTGGATTCCAGCATCTGGGAGCAGAAATAATCAACATTTCCTCCTGATGATCTGCTAGGGTCAAGAATGTCCTATGGCTTTACCTGCTTCTGGATGAGATGAAAATCCTTGCCATAGGTGTGAAAAGCCTTTTCGAAGGACTCCTTCTCCTCAGGTGTCCATATGTCAGAGTCTGGCAAAAAAAGCAGCAGGTAAATTGGTCCCTCCATCCACTTGGAGTAGATCCCACTGGCTGCCAAAACAAAATTGGCGCCATCCACCTTTCACCTGCGTACATGTCTGCTCCCTTGGAAAGTAATGAAGACAAGAGCAGGCATTCCCCAGGAAGGAGAAAAAAAAACCCATGGAAAACTCCAAGGAAAGCTGAAGGGGGAGATGCTGCTGCTTTCCCCTGCCCCAGGCAAGAGGAGG